ATAGGCTGACGCGCAATCCACTACATGGAATTTGGTTTGTCGATTGACACCTGCTGCATATACAGGTAACGTCACTTCTCCTGCAGTATGCTTTACTTCACCATTGAATCCCACTAATGGCGTTGATTTTCGTGTTAGTTCGTCTTCACTAAAGTCTAGTCCAGCGAGAGTGTGCATGAAGAGAATGTTCGTCGAGGTGCCACTGTCGATTAATATCCTTTTCATCAAGCAATTAGCCATCGTCAGGGATATTACCAGTGCATCATGATGCACAGCTAGCACATCCTCACCTTCGTCGAATGCAAAGCTAATTGCACACATTGGTGGAGCGTCAACTTTGACATTGTTTATGGTGTGACACATTCTTGCACTCTTTGTACTTTTTTAGCAGCTGAATGCGTTATACCACTGACTTCAGAACCTCCTGAAATAACATTAATGGTCCGGTCGTACTTTGGGGGTGAGGTAGGGACATGATATGTTGGTGATTTATCATCGTTCCTCTCCTCGAAACGATTTTTTGCCTTGTCAGACAAAAATTCTCTCAAGTAGCCTTTTTTTAGTAGCTCGTTCACCTTCATTCTTAAGGAGACGCAATCATCAGTTCGATGAACAAGGTCGTTATGAAATTCACACCACCTTGAAGTGTTACGTTCATCACCTGGTGTTCTCATTTTCTGTGGCCACCTTACCTTTCCACCTAAGTGTTTCAGCGCTCCAACCAACTCTGGGTGAGAGATTGAAAGCTTGCTAATGTCTGGCCATGTCAAAGATTGTTGCTTCTCATATTCACTCTCGTTGAATGGTCGGTGACTACCTCTGGTGTCGCTCCTGCTACTAGTACTATCACTGCGAGGTCTCTTGTAGGATTTGTCATCCCTAGTGGTTCTTTCATTCATTGCCTCACGTCACTCTTCTCGTGGGGAGCATCGATAATAGTAAGCAGGATCTTCTTCCCACTTGATTTGCGCCCATGCTCTTGAGAGCACGTCTTCCATGGTTCTGCACTGATACTTAGTCAGTTCTTTGTACAGGTCACCGT